CCCAAACACGAAAACGAGGACTATTGAAAATAGCTACGACCAAACATTATGGGCGCTAGGGAAAATAAAAGCAGGTTTTCTTTGGTGAAAGGGGTGGGTTTAATATAGCTTCTTTAAAAAGCCAGATAGGAATGAGAAACCTCACTAGGATACAAATTATTTATCTCAAATTTGAATCACAATTGTGGGTAAGAGGGACTTGGACAGGGAAAGCCCTGTCTTCTCCAAACGGTAGCTTAACGGGCCTTAATGAGACCCGCGATTCCCTTAATTCTAGGAGGACTGGCTCATGTAATGCTAGAAGGCACAAACAGCTTCCACGTCCAAGGTGTAAAAATGTGTGAGATATGAAAGTGTGATCCAGAGATTGGAGTCCGGGGTCAAACACGCAGCGTAGGTTAGTAGCAGCTCCACAACGGTTGCTAAATTGAAGTATTTGCAACGCGAAAATATGTCAATTCAACAGAAACCAAAAAGCAGGGAATGCCAATCAGCAGCAGTAGCAGCGTCGGGCATGGGGGTGGCGATCGATAATGAGCCAATAAATATGCAGCGCTCAATGGATTCGTTATGTGGTGAGTCATTCGCAGCTGCGCGATGTTCAAAAAAGAGAGGTCGTCGTGAGTAGCGACGTACTCCTTACGTTTGAAGAAAATTGGGACAGCCTCAGTATGAATGAAATAAGGCCTTTAATATGGTGGTGGGGAGAAAGAGCATATACCTGCTTTCCATTTACCACTGTGTGGCTGCACTTAAAGGCGCACTTTTGAGTGTCCCGGTTTAGTCGCTGCAGGAGTGCTCCCCCGCTGCCGAAGGATACGTTGACAGTACTCCAGCCAGCCTTTTTCACCGACTCCAGTATTTTACCTGTAGGAGGGAAAATCTGTATAACAATCAACTTACCCATGCAATTATTCTGTTCGAAAATTAAGTACGTTTAAATAAGATAGGCAATTTGACTACTGAACAAGAAAGTACACCGACACCATACAATTCAACTGCTGTCAGGCTAAGAAGAGGGCAATTATGCAAGTTATTTTCAGACAAGTCCTACAGAATGACATTTGGATATTTATTAAGTAATATTTGTTAGTCAGCCATTTGGAACGTTGTTCATAACCCAATTGTGATGCAGGTCAACATAAGCACCTGACAAAACAGCTTCGGCTTTCAACCTCTAACAAAAACTGAACGTGGGAAGCGTCGGCTGGAAACCTTCGAGACGTGGGTCAACCATTGCAAATCGCATAGTTTAATCTGCTAATAAGTCGGCTGTAGAAGTGGCAAATGCTTGAAGAACTAGGTCAGTGCATTAGTTTAATCCGGGATATAGACTTAAATCTAAGATATATCAAGAGCGCGTGTCAATTTTGGTTTGAAGATAAATAGAAACGAAAAGATTAGTTTTCGCACCTAAATTTCGCATTTTTAAGCCGACAACTAAGTCGTTATGGCACTTTTGTGATTCCAAAAGCAGTAAGATGCGCGCAATCTTGATGTTGTAAGCCTAGTTTTCCCTGGCAACTCGGTGTTTCTAGTAACAGTCTGGGCAGGGTGCATGGAGTCCGGCATAGTTCTAAGAAAACGCATTAGGTTTAACTACCCCGTAATATCTAAGGCAAACTGCATTAAAAGGTGAACGCGTTAGTGGCCAAAGGGTTAAGATTCAGCGTACACATCACCACATTAACGGAAAACCCCACGTGTGTATAATATAGGGCCGATGGTGATGGGCGTTGTATGTGTGGGGCATATCAGGGGAAGAACAACTAATAAAAGAAGAAGAGTGTATAAAAGGAGAAAATAAGTGGGGCGATTATTTAAATAACCTAACATTTTACAACAAAAAGCGTGCGGTGATTAAAATGACAATGCAGCCAATAGGAAAAATCGGAACTGCGCAAATAACTGCGAATTTTCAGGATTAAAGTAAACCATGAAAGATAGGCTTTTCCCCCTCCCCATTTTAAGTCGAAAAGCAACCGCGTGTCGCTAATAAAAATTAAACTAAGGTAAACTAAACTAAAACTAATAAACTACAAACTAACCTGAACTAAAGCTAAACGAAAATAAACAAACCTGACTAAACTAAACTTAAACAAATAAAACTAAAAGTAGCCGCAGGACGCTGAATATTTTCGTGTGGGGAGTGCAATGGGTTGGTAAATGTTGGATACGTACACAGGCTTACTATAACTAGATAATTACTTAGTAAGATATGGTGAACGGTGCAGTGGTGTGCATACTGAATCCTCGCCGGCCAAAGTAATCATTAGTGCAAACAGTCCGAGGGAGCGCCAAAATGTCATAAGCTCATGAATAATAGGATTGGGCTTTTTATGAACTTTATTCGACTCCGTTTGGATGAAAAAGTTCTATTTAGGATGTGTTAACAATATTACATGGGGAGCGTTAAGTTGTGGAAAACAGTTTATAGCCTTGTCAGACCCACTAGTTCACTTGAATTTGGAATTTGGTACAGATGTATGGGGAGAACTGCTAACACAACGGTACTGTCAGTTCTTCGGTAAGCAAAGAAGTAGTCAGGCTTTTTGTGCGGAAAATGGCACAATGGTC